TTTGATATGCAATGGCTATTTATACTGAAAAACAAAATAGCATGTCATGTTAGCATTTATAGAATTATTCTATATTTTAAGACTCAGCACATTAAATATGAGATTTGACAACCCATTACCTAATAATTTAGAAGGAAAAGAATAGACTCAGAAACACATGGAAAATCATATTGTTTTGTGTAGCATGTATAAGGATGACTGTGCATTGCTGTGTCATCTTCCGTACGCTTAGTTTAAGACAATGATGTGTTGTGTAATTCCTTCAGGAAGGAATTTTCTCAAATGCTATTTAAATAAACAAACTCTGAACCTTCAAAATGTTTAATTTCACCTACATAGTGAAGCCCTGTGTATGACTATATAATTGTTTAATGGCATACTCGAAATTGATATAACGCAGTTAAAAGAGTTATTAAATGACTTCATCAATAAGCTTCCTTAACAAATCATGCTTTTTAACTATATTCATACCTTTTTCAAATTTAGATTATCGGGATTTCAGCTACCGTCCTCGATAGTGAGCACAGGATCTATCCTCACGCTGTGGTTCACGACAGACTTTGCTGTGAGCGCCCAAGGCTTTAAAGCACTGTATGAAGGTAGGAGATTTCCTGCATTTTGCACATATTCACTGTCCACATGATCTAACCTGTGCTAATCTGGATAAAATATTTTAATGAAAAACAAAGCTGCTATGTCAGAGATGGTTTCATGTTGTTAGAATTTGACTTTTGTGCACTATATTGAAAATTGGATAATGCTATTTGCTAAAATTATGAAATTTTCTGGCACAAAATGTATTCATCATTTTCTTTTATTGGTAAAACTTTTCTTGATTGGATTTTCTTTGTGTTGACTTGCAATGGATACGTTTTAAAAACTTTGAATGCAAATTAGTAGCCCTCTTAGGTGGTGAAGAGTTTATTTATAATGCAGAAGAGTTTTATTAAAAATTTTGTTGGACAATAATGCTGCTAGTCAGTGTTTAAATAACGAAAATTTCATTACTTGAGGTTTTGTTGTCAAAGTTGAAAATTTTAATTAATTGAGAAAATTAATTTGCTTTTACTATTGTTTGATCATACGAGGCATAGGGATTTTCTTTTATTTGTTTTTATGACTTCAGATTTTGTGCATAGATACCTTTGGGGTATTGCTATCATTAAGCTGCTTTTCGGCAGAAAATTAAAAAATAAAACAGAGATTATGCTTTGATAGAGGAAATGATCGTTTCAAGCATTAGATGTTAAGAAATGGAATGTTAATACATTAAAGGCTTTGGTGTGTCTAATTTAGTCTTGATTTGCATAGAGATTTTAAATTTTCCTTTACATGTAATACAAGAGCTATTATTTTTAACACAAATAAACCCTGGTGCCTGTAGATTAAAATAAAATAAAAGAAAAACTATGGATAGAGATACAGAGCCAGCCCCTATTTATAACCCACACAGTTTACGTTGGACCTTATTCTCTTTAAGTCACGTCTACGTATTCTTATTTGAATACTCAGTGCACTTGGGCAAAATTCACTCTTTGTAAAAACTTAAAATGTACATGTGGTTAGTGCAACTGAGCTAAGCTATAGTGTAATAATCAGAAGAGAGGAGAATAAACTGATATCTTTGCACAGATGTATAAACAGATCGATTTATCCTTTCATTTAAAGTTATGTGTGGAATGATGCAAGGATTGCAAACTACTCTGACCCTAATGCCTTTCAGGACACTGAATTTGTACATAATCAAACATCAGTGGCTAAACATGGTTAAAGGGTATTACTGACTATCAAGGAATATATTAATCTTTGGAAAACAACAGGTTAATTTAAGATCAACAGGTGCTATGAACTTTCAAATTTTATTATACTTACGTATCACTTCCTACAAACTCTAAATTCACATAATTTCTTTCTGCATAACATTACAAAAGTATCTCCAAAGCAATCTATACTAGCTACCTGTGAAGCATATTTTGTTGGATCAACGTATGTATTTTCTCAGAAGATAGATAATGCTTCTACATTTTAGAAAACTTGGCAATTTTCCTCCCCTTTCTGACAAATTGATAGCTGAATACCACATTTTGCTGGATTTCCTAAGATTAATTTTATAGAAACTCTGTTGCCATTGAGTGATTGCCAAATGAATAATCCTATCAAATCTTTCTGGGCTATTGTTGGTTTTACTAGTTGTCATGATGGTAAAATAAAAATTATGGGTGAGATTGTCCCTGTTGGAAAAATATTTGGATGTTATTAAAAAAAAAACCAATTGGGAAAGTGACTAGAAAAGTGAATAGGGTCATAAGTTCAGTTAAATGTGTTTTTGAAAAAAGTTTGGATATGTGGAAAAGCTTTTTGTGAAATCTAGATGTTCAATACTAACATTATAATAGAGTCT